TTGGGCTTTGCTTTAGGGCCAGGCAAGGGACCCCTAGCTCCTGGGACTGCCAGCTTTGACCATGCCCAGCTCCCATCACTGGCTCCACCCCTACTTCCTGCTATTACTGGCCAGGGCGGCAAAGGCCCCTGATTCTCCGATCATGGCTGCCCCCCAGCTCTTAGCTCCCCCCTGGGTTTCCAATCACTGTCAGTGGCAGAGGGCTTCTTCCTGCTTTCCGTTTCGCCTCCCTGCATTGTGCCTACATATGCAAATTAACCGCCATCTTGTTGGCAGTTAACTGCCAATCTTAGTTGGCAGTTAATTTGCATATAGCCCTGATTAGCCAATGAAAAGGGTATTGGTCGTACGCCAATTACCATTTTTGTCTTTTATTAGATAGGATTTGGTCTTCATTGCTGTTATTCCCATTTTACTAGTGAGGAAAAGGAAACTAGGGAAGAGAAGCAAGTAACCCAAGATCATGGAGTCAGTCAGTGACAGACCTGGACCGGAATCTGGGTCTCTGCCTTCCTGTGAGGGGATTTTCCACTCCTAGCACTGCCTCCCAACTTTACTAAATACAAGCAGAGGGGTCATTGCAGGCTTGGAATGTCTGTGCAAGAAAAGGCGGAGCCAGACACAATTCATGCCTGTTTCTTCCTGAGAATCAAAGAAGGATCTGTCGAGAAAGAATTTCAGGAACTTGAGTGCAGCATGTAACACATTCCACAACAATTCAGTCCAATTTCGTTTCATGAATTTTTACTAACGTGTGAATCTTCCTTTTCAATCTATTTGTCTTCCCCTTCATCCCAGTCCCAGCCATCACCATCACCATCACCTGTCTTTGGACACCTAGAGGGGCCTCCTACTTGGCATTCCACCTTTAACCCATTCTCCCCACTATAGCCAAATACATATTTCTAAAATAGACCTGATCATGTTAGTTTCGATTAAAATCCTTCAATGGCTCCCCATGGCTCTAAGGCTTTGGAATAAAACTCTTCCACATGCCCTGTGAGGTTGTCCAAAGCTGAGCCTGCCTTCTGCTTCTGGCCTCATGGCTCAAGCCCTGTGCTCCTATTAGATTGCACTTCCTTCAGTTCCTCTGAACTGAGCTTCGGTGTTGGATACACAGTCCCTTTTGCTTTGAGCTTTCTCAGTCTGGACAAGTCCTACTCATCCCTTAAGCTTCTGCTTAGAATTCAGACCTTCTGGGAAGCCTTTTTGCATTAAAAAAATAGATTAAAAATATACATATATACATTTTTATTGATTTCCGAGAGGAAGGGAGAGGGACAGAGAGATAGAAACATCAATGATGAGAGAGAATCATTGATTGGCTGCCTTCTGCATAGCCTACACTGGGTATTGAGCCCGTAACCTGGGCATATGCCCTGATTGGGAATTGAACCGTGACCTCCTGGTTCTTAGGTTAATGCTCAACCACTGAACCATCGCCGGGCCCTTTTTGCATTTTTCACTCCACTTTTCCTTACAGCACCCTGTGCCTCCTCCTTGACAGCATTTGTCATGGAGTATTATTGTAATTGCTGTGTCCTTGCCTGTGTCCCACTAGAATCTGGGCTTCCTGAGGGCAGCTGCTATGTTTCCTTGCTTTAGTGTTATATCTGGCACCAGCACAGTGCTGAAATGAGAGTTCTTTACACATCCTATATAATAAAAGGCTAATATGCAAATGACCAAATGGTGGAATGGGTGGTCAGTGTGCTCCCACAAGGGGATGCTGCTCAGCCAGAAGCTGGATTCACCGCTGTCGAGCACAGTGGCAGTGGTGGGAGCCTCTCCTGCCTCCCTGGCAATGCTAAGGATGTCTGACTGATGGCTTAGGCCCACTAAGCTGTCAGTCAGACATCCCCCCAGGGCTCCCGGACTGCGAGAGGGCGCAGGCCAGGCTGAGGGACACCCCCCTCAAGTGCATGAATTTCATGCACCGGGACCCTAGTCAAAGATAAATACAGATGTTAATTGAAACTGAAGAAGTGGGAGCTATTGCCGAAGAGGAGCGGAGATGAGGGAGCAGAAGGGATTGCTGATGGAGTCAGCTTCCAGAGTAGGTGGGTGTGGAATAGGATGACCAACTGTCCTGGTATACCAGGGACTGTCCCAGTTTTAAAACGGCAACTCCTGTGTCCCAGGAAGACCCTTACCCATAGGTCTGGGCAAACGTACGCTGGAACGAAGAGTACCTCTCCCTTGAATTATGAGGGACAGTAGAGGTCGAGAAGGGCAGGTTAAATCAACAAAGCGAATGGTTTTGGAACCAGGGAAAAGCTCTGCATCTGAGCTGTGTGATCTTGAACATAGTTAACCTCTCAGATTCAGTTTCCTGTAATTTGGGACAGTTAAACAAGAATGAGTCATGTGAAAACGCCTACCCCAACTGCAGGCTCACAGCTAGAGTTAAGTGTTCATGTCTATTCTTTCCTCACTTTTGCCGCTATCCTCACCTCTCACGCTCCCTTCATCTACCCTTCCTCTCGACTTTTTCATTTGTTCTCTGGATTCACTGGCTCCTCACTTGGAAGACCACCCGCCGCTAGGGGGAAGCGCGGAGCAAACAAGGACGGGCGCCTCTCTAGCCCTCCCAGGGGGAGCTCTCTATGGCCGACCCTCCACCTGCGCGGAGGGGGCGGGGCCCTGCCACGTGACTTGGATGCCGGGTGTCGGCGCAGACGCGGCGGCCGCGTCGTCCGCTCCGCGTCCCTTTCCGTGCACCTGAGCTGCTGCCCCGTGGTCCTGCTGCTGTT